CCCTGTTCTAGCCCCGCCCACACTCCCCGCCCCGGTCCCGCCCACTCCCCTAGCCCCATCCACATCAATCTTGGGCCCGCCCACATCCAGCCCTGGCCCTCCCACTCCCCTGGCCCCGCCCACACTCCCCGCCCCGGTCCCGCCCACATCCAGCCCTGGCCCGCCCACTTCTGGACCCTGAGCCACCCTGGCCCATCTCCTCCTACTGGTGCCCTGGCCACACCGGTCCCCTCCTTCTTCCTATTTGGTCCACTTTCCTTACCTCCACCGGCTGCCCCTTGCCCCAGCGAGGGGCTCCCATAACCTCTGACCCTCCTCTGCAGTGAGGTGCAGTACGTGGTGCTCCAGAACGTGGCCACCATGTCCATCAAGCGCCGGGTGAGCAAGTGACCAAGAGGCCTGCCCTCCCTGTCCGAGGGTTGGCTTCCATGGTGCTCATGGCGCTAGAGGGTCCGGGGAGAAGCAGGCTGGGAACGGGCTTTGGCAGTGCAGCGTGGGGGAGGGGAGACCCCAAATGCAGGATCCTGAGGGCCACTCAGGAAGGAAAACCCATGAAGAAAGACCCGGTCAGATCTAGAAGGAGGAGGGGGACATTGAGGAGTGGGGGACAGTGACATGGCAGGGAGGTCCCTGGGCCCCAGGCCGGCCGGGAGGAGGGTTGCCCTGGAAGAGAGGCTGTGGGGGAACTCCCGGCTGCCTCTCCCGTGCCAGGGTATGTTCGAGCCCTACCTGAAGAGCTTCTACATCAGGTCCACCGACCCCACGCAGATCAAGATCCTGAAGGTGAGTGACAGACAGCAGTGGTTGTGGCCTCTCTGGCCACGTCCCCCGTCCCCATAGACCCACTCAGGTATCCACGGTGGCCCCCTGGGTGCCTGCCTGTGTCTGGGGCTGAGCCCGTGGCCTCCCAGCCAGACGTGTTTGCTCAGGAAGCCAGGCTACTGAGGGCGGGGGGACGGGGAAGGGAACTGCCCTTGCCTAGACCTGTCCTATACCTGGCACTTTTCACAACCACCTCAGGAAGTGCACATTTTCACCATTTTATTAAAACGTGGACCCGAGGAGAGGAGATAACCACCCCAAGGTCAGTTCTGCTGACTCGAAAATTCATGCTTTCTCAGTGCAGCCCTCCGTCTCCCACCCACGGTGTTATCACCCCCACACTCCCACCCCCTCGGGCTTTCATGCACATATATGCCCACAGGAGCCTGTACCCCATCCCGTTCCTGCTCTGCTGCCTCACTGAGTCATTTAAACAGTTCAGAGAAAGCAAACTAATCAGGCATCCTGTCCTGGTGGAGCCCACAGTCTCATTGGGGTGAGGAGGAGGCATTTAGCAGCTAATCCTAAAACAAATGTAAAAATCCATTTGTGAAATGTGGCATGGAAGAACAGTTACAGGGAGCTGTCAGAGCATAAAATAGGAGGACCTGATGTAGTCTGGTGTCAGGGGAATTTTCCCTCAGCAGGTGGCTTGAACTCAGGCCTGAGAAATGAACACGAATTACCTAAGTAAAGGCAGGGACAGGAATTGGAAGCACTCCAGCCACATTGTGGAAACAGCACATGCAAAGGCCCTGGGGCAGGCAGGAGTCTGATAACGGGCCTGTGTGATGGGGGCATGGAAATCAAGGGGGAGTGGTGGGAGATCAGGGACTCCCAGACCGAGGGAAGATGTTAGTCTTTATCCTAAAAGCAGTAGGAGGCTTTATGTTTTCTTTATTAATACAGTGGGGCCTTGACTTATGAGTTTTTTAAGATACCAGCTGTCTCTCGGCCGGTTTTTTGCATTGAGTTGATAGAGTAATTTGAGTTAATGAGCTCCTTAACGAGCTCGGTCTCGGAACGAATTAAACTCGTAAGTCAAGGCCCCACTGTACTCTCATCTCCGGTTAATTAAACTGTCCGGGGAACTCCATGGGTTGTTAATATATAAAGACAATAATGTTGAGCACTTTTATAATGAATGGAAAGGGGGCGTTGGGTAACAACATCAGACTTTACGTTTTCAATGGAGGGAGAGAGGTGACATGATCCGGCTGTAAGTGCATCCGTCAGGGAATCCACTTAAGAGGCGAACAGGCCCTCCTGCAGTGCGGACAAGCTTCTGACCTGTCAGTTCCCGGTCAGCCTCAGGATGCTGGGGGCTGCCTGAGGAGTGTTTGCTGGTGTGTGGAGTGTGTCTGGAATGACCGGGTGTGAAAGCACAGGATGCCCACTCTCTGCCTCCCTTCAGCTGGAAGTGCTGACCAACCTGGCCAACGAGACCAACATCCCTACGGTCCTGCGGGAATTCCAGGTACGGGCGGGGCAGGTCCCATCCTGAGGGCCCCGGAGAGCAGCCCACGGCTCCTGTGCACAGTGAGGGTCGTCCTGTGGGCAGACCTTCTCTTAAGGGTCCAGAGTGGAGAAACGGTCATCTTAGGTCCTCTCCCAATGCCCTCTGCTGGCCTCGGGCCAGGGAATCACTGGGCAGTGGGTGAGGGGGCCACTTCCTCTCCCAGAATTTAGTCTCTGGTGTGACGAGTCACTGAATGAGGCGTGGCCGTCCCCAAGGTCACCCGCAAGCCTGCAGGGTCCCTGAGGGGTCACCCTGTTGTGATGTCCCACAGACCTACATCCGCAGCATGGACAAGGACTTCGTGGCAGCCACGATCCAGGCCATTGGACGCTGTGCCACTAACATAGGCCGAGTCCGTGACACCTGCCTCAACGGCCTGGTGCAGCTGCTGTCCAACCGTGATGGTCAGTGCTTGTCTGAGTGTCCGACCCTATGACCAGTGGGTGTCTGCCTGCATGTCCGACGGCCAGTGGGTATCCATCTGTCTGTCCAGGCACAAGGTGATGACGTCTGTCTGCCTCAGTGGGTATGCAGGTGTCCCTGCGTCTCTCGGGGCCATTGGTGGAGTGCAGGGGGTGAGGAAGAGAGCCAGGGTTTGGGGTGTGGCAGGGTCTGTCCGCCTGCGTGTGGCCATCGGGCTCTCCGGGGTCCACACTCTCTTCCGTCCGCAGAGCTGGTGGTCGCGGAGTCGGTGGTCGTCATTAAGAAGCTGCTGCAGATGCAGCCAGCACAGCACGGGGAGATCATCAAACACCTGGCGAAGCTCACGGACAACATCCAGGTGTGGACGGCAGTGATGCCGCGTCCCCTCCCCTCCCCCACCCCCGGGTCCTTCCGCGATCCTAAGACCCTATAATTAACTAAATCAACCTCCAAACCTCCCACACTGGCTCTACAAGGTCTTCAGGTGGAAGGATGGGAGGAGATGGGGCCACGTGACCCTGACCTTGTTGCCCAAGATTTGCCTTCCCTTTGGGGACCCCGCACCGAGCGCCCCACTCGTGTTTTCTCCAACGCTGTCGCCAGGGGTGGCTGGTTGACAAGTCCTGTGTGTTCCTGGCAAGTTGGAACTTTGAAACAAGGTGTTCCTGGAGATTCAGGAAGAAGTGACATGAAGCGAAGCATTGAGGACATAGTGGATCCAGGAAGTCAGTCTTTAAAACCTCCACTGACATTAGGGCTTGAAGAAGCCAGTGAGCCAGACTGCTGTGATTCAGTGGATAGAGCATCGGCCTGCGGACTGAAGGGTCCCAGGTTCGATTCCTGGTCAGGGCTTGCGGGCTTGATCCCCAGTGTGGGGCTTGTAGGAGGCAGGCAATCCATGATTCTCCCTCATCATTGATGTTTCTCTCTCTCTCCCCCTCTCCCTTCCTCTCTGAAATCAATAAAAATATATTTTAAAAAGAAAAGAAGCCAGTGAAACCCCTGGGAAGAAGGGCTATGCCACCCAGGAAACGCCCACCTTTTTAAAAAAATATATAATTTTATTGATTTCAAGGGAAGAAGGGCTATGCCGCCCAGGAAACGCCCACCTTTTTTAAAAAAATGTATAATTTTATTGATTTCAGAGAAGGGAGAGGGAGGGAGAGGGAGAGAGAATCATTGATTGCATGTCCCGCACTGGGGATCGAGCCCACAACCTGGGCCTGTGTCCTTGGCTGGAATCGAACCTGGGACCCTGACGAGAGAGTCATTGATCAGCTGCCTCATGCACACCCCACACTGGGGATCGAGCCACAGCCCAGGCATGTGCCCTTGACCGGGAATTGAACGGCAGCCTCCCAATTCATAGGTCGATGCTCACCCACTGAGCCACATTGGTCAGGCTGCCCACCTTTTAATGCCTCTCCCACTGCCCCCACTCCCATTTCCGGGGGAGCCCATCGTTCAGCGGCTGGTGCAGATGGGAAGCCCCCCATTTCCCTGGCGGGCCACGTGCCTGCCCACGTGCCATGTTTACCGAGGTCCTAACGCCCCTCCCTCCGCCGCAGGTGCCCATGGCCCGCGCCAGCATCCTGTGGCTCATCGGCGAATACTGTGAGCACGTCCCCAAGATCGCACCCGACGTCCTCAGGAAAATGGCCAAGTCCTTCACAGCCGAAGAGGACATTGTCAAGCTGCAGGTCATCAACCTGGCGGCCAAGCTCTACCTGACCAACTCGAAGCAGGTACAGATCGAGAGGTGCCCCTCCACAGTCGGTCCCCAGAACCTGCCAAGCAGTACTCTGTGTGCCCTCACCAGGTGGGCGTGAACGCCAAGGCCCCTTTCTTTCTTTATTTTTTCTTTTTTGTTAATCCTCACCCAAGGATATTTTTTCCATTGATATTTAGAGAGAGTGGAAGACAGAGGGAAAGACAGAGAGAAACATCCATGTGAGAGAAACACATTGATTGGTTGCCTCCTGCACACGCCTTGACCAGGGCCTGGGCCGAGGAGGAGCCTGGAACCGAGATCTATGCCTTGACCAGAATCGAACCCGGGACCCTTTGGCTAGAATCGAACCCAGGACCCTTGACCAGAATCGAACCCGGGACCCTTTGGTCCGTAGGCCGACGCTCTACCCACTGAGCCAACCTGGCTCGGGCCCAAGTGGCCAATGTTCCCAGTGTGCCCGCTTCCTCGGGGGAGCCCAGGGTCTGGGAGGACTGAAGGCGGCCTCTCCGGCCACCCATGGAGTCTTTGGGTGGTGGCACTGTGCTTTTTCGGGGCTCCTCTGATCCACGGTAGCTACACTGGGCCCCAGGAACTCAGGCTGGGGAGGCGGGGCCCTCAGGTCCGGGACTCATCAGGAGCTGGAAGGGACAGCAGTCACGTGTGGAAGCAGCGGGGCCCTGGGCCTGTGGGTGTCAGGATTGTGGGAGCAGAAGCCTGGAGAGGAGGAAGGTAGAGGGAGCACCATGGGGAGTGCTCAGCCCCTGAACAGTATGTGCGCCCCCTTGTTCAGAGGGGAGCAAGGAGCAGTGGGAGGAAAGTGTGATGAGGTGAGGCCGTGTGGGCGGGGAGGCACACCAGTCGGAACCGACAGGCTCAGGACTGAGCCGAGCGCTGAGCCCCCGGACGCCGATGTCGGCCTGTTTCCCAAGCCTGGTGTCCACATGCCTTTCCCCAGGTTGTCCCGCTGGCCACATGCGTTTGCCATGTGTGCCTGTGCTGACAGATTGATTTAAAGGACATTTCCCGAGTGCCTGCTGTGCCGGGCACAGAGCTCCATCCTGGGCTGGTGCCGAGTGCTTAATGCTAGGAGGCACTCCATCAACAGTGGCTACCACGGTTGTTTGTAAAGACAGGTAGACTAACCCTGGCCAGTTTTGCTCAGTGGATAGAGCATACGCCGGGACTTCTGTGCCTTCAGCAGCCCACGGTGCAGGCTCTGCGGTTGGCTCTCGGTAGAGCCTTTCAGGGGAGGACTGTGGCCGTGGGGACCGCAAACCTGGGACCACAAGTCTAAGGACGAATGGAGTCCAAGGCCCAAAGGGCAGCTGTCAAAGTTGGGGTCAGGCCCTGGCCAGTTTTGCTCAGTGGGTAGAGCGTCAGCTTGTGGACCGAAGGGTCCTGGGTTTAATTCCAGTCAAGGGCATGTTACTCCAGTTGCAGGCTCCTTCCTGGCCGAGGCCCTGGTCCAGGCTCATGCAGGAGGCAAGCAATCAATGTGTTTCTTGACTGGGAGACCGACCAGCCAACCTCCTGCATCCCCTCCCCCCCG